ATCACCCATACTTGAGAACTGGGACAAAACTTTATTTATTGGGGTTTTTCATTTTTACGCTTCAATTAGGCTGAGAAAATATATTTTAAAAGATCAAAGTCTTGACTATTAAATGCTGCAATGGGCCAACCTCCCAGTGATTAATTTTTTTTTTTTTTGAATAGCATATATAATGGATGTCAGAGGTAAGCTCTGACAGAGTTGATGTCTTACAGAAATGACAAAAAGTTTTATTTTTATTAATTTCACAGCAGGCTTAGTGAGGAGCCATTTCATTTTTCAAGGTTGCTAAGAGTTCTCTCAATGCCAATCAAAATACTAATTTTCAAACCATAATTCTGACTTACTTTTCATTTAGAAAGGCCACAGAGTTGACAGGTAATGGTTAAGACACTCCCGATAGCTATATTATTTCATGAATATATTAAAAAGTAAAAGGTTACCAGTACTTGAGAAGCATTCAAGCCTTTATGGAAACCAGGAAGTGAGTCAGGAGTCCTTGCCATATAGCTAACTCCTTTTATGCCTGATTAAATGATGTTTTGCTAGAAATCCGGCAAGGCTGACAAAAAATTAGGACACATCTTTAAAGTGCCAACGTTTTCATGAAAAGATATATTTTAAAACAAAGATGACTACAGCAGTACATTTTTACACCGATGTTATTGATCGATTGTACTTCATTTCCATTTGCAGTATTATATTTGGTGGTATGGCTCTGTTCTGGGGCCTCTTTGCCTTTCCTAGGCCTACACAGGAAGCCTTAGGTGGAGAGAGCACAACTCTCCACCCTTCCACGCGCCCATGTGGAAAGCCTTAACGCAGAGAGAGAGCAAACCTCCCTGCCCTTCCACACGCCTATGTGGAAAGCCTTAAGGCAGAGAGAGCACACCTCTCTGTCCTTCCATGCACCTATGTGGAAAGCCTTAAGGCAGAGAGAGAGTAAACCTCCCTGCCCTTCCACACACTGATGTGGAAAGCCTTAAGGCAGAGAGAGCACACCTCTCTGCCCTTCCATGCACAAATGAGGAAAGCCTCAGGCAGAGAGAGCAAACCTCCCTGCTGTTCCATGTGTCTGCATGAAAAGCCTGGCAGGGAGAGCAGCAGCAAAGACCCACCGGGAACAGAACAGCGCAGCATCAATGACAAACAGAAATGACACTGATAAGATTGTTGTGAGAAGAATCCTTTATGTATATCAGCAAAGTTACTGACTGAAAAAACCCAGTACCAAGTAGTATCGAAAAATATACCTACTTTTGATCCATTTTGTACAGAGATCTAGAAACTAATGTCTATTCATATGGCTTTGCTCACAGCCAATCACCCCAAGCATTCTTCAATTCAATGAGAGCAGCAATGATTAGTCGATAAATCAATTAGTTGATCAAAAGAAAGTTAACTCCCCACTATTTTGATAACTGATAAACCATTTCAGTTATTTTTCAAGCAAAAATGTCAAACATTTGTTGGTTCCGGCCTCTTAAATGTGAGAATGTGTTGCTTTCCTTGATCATTTATGATGTAAAATGAAGAGTCTTCAGGTTTCGGACTGTTGGTTGGACAAAAGAAGCAATTTGAAGCAATTTGAAGACATCACTTGATGATGTTCGACATTTTATTGACGAAACAATTAATTGTTAAAATAATCAGATTAATCACACACAACTGAATGCTTCCATTTATGTGATTCTTTATGAATGGAGCACAGAAAAAAGGTATCAAATGATACTCTGTTGGGTCAGTATCACTTTAAGGGTACTGGTATCATAATTTTTAGCCCTAATATCAAGGCAGATTTATGGATATTTATCAATGGATGAACATTTGGACATTGGAGACAATGATATCCTCAGAGAGTCCAAGTCACACTGAATCTAAAATTACTTCCATCGTATCTGTGCTTTCAGATTTGACTGAGTTATGACTCTCTTCCACCGCATCTCCCACTTCAAATCTATCATCTCCCCATGGGACGATGTCCCTCACAGTTTGGCAACTTCAGGTCAACATATCACAACACTGGCTTTGCTGCTGAAAAAGAAACCGCTCTGTTCTTTTGATTAACAGACTCTGCTCACATCTTTCTTTCAGCATTAGAAAGAGTGGAATTGTTTTCATCTTTGACGTCAATTAACCGACACAACAAAACTGCACTTCAATCTGTAAGCAGGACTGCGTTTTAGTCTGTCTCAGTCAATTTGTTGTTAACACTATTGCTGCCTTGAGTCATTACATACACACACACACACACACACACACATTTAATTAAGTCTGCAATGAATGGTAAACATTTTCTATCATATATAGACAATCAATTACTCCTCTGCAAAATCTCCTAGTTTTACGGCTCATAAATCATATATCCATGACAGCTCCGTTGTAGAACATCATCATGAGTATCATGAGCGATACTGAGACGGGGTGAAGGGGCTAACTGGAAAATATGCGGCAATGTTCAATATTTCTGGCACCGAACGGCCTCATTTCAATCCTAGCTGGTGAGGACAATGATTTTTCACAGGGCAGCAGCGGTGAAATTCCTCCCCGTGTTTCGACACTGCACAGCTCCTCGCTGTGGTATCTCGAGGTTTATCTAATTTACCACAGAGGGAATTGACGGGAATTGGTGATGTAACCCCGTGTAAACAGAGAAAGTGGTGCTGCGAAAACTGATTTAGAGCCTGTAAATACAAACACAGAGACACAGAAAGAGATTTCAATTTAAAATTCTCTTTACTCACCCACTCCTGCAAACAAAAACAGGACTAATTTAGTTCAATAAGATACGTGTCTTTCAACCTCTCCCACCTGAGGATAAAGCGAGACGACGACTCACAACTCATCAGCCGACATACAGCAAAGGAGTTCATCAAAAGTGTGAGGATGAGAGGTGCTGATTTGCAAAGAGGAAAGACATAAGACATAAAATCAGGCTGAAAACCTGCAGAAGCTTTCTGTACTTCCAGCTGTCTGAGGAGAAACTGAAAACAAATATACTGAAAATTATTTATTTAACAGCCATATATTTTTAATTAGTTCCTCATTTAAAGGCAGTAACTGTGTCCCAACGGTTCCTGTACCACTGAATAGGTGTAATGAGTCTTGCTGCCTTTAACGGCTTGTAACAATGAAAGAACAAGTAATTAGTCTGAGTTTCACTGCAAAGTTTTACTGCTCCATGTTGGCCACTAAAGCCCTCCAACGAGTTGGAGATTTTCTTTTTGCTTGTGCGGATGCAGAAGCTTCTTTCTGCAGTCTTGCTATAGGGAAACGCTGACTATTTTGGTGGAAAAGGCGAGGAATGATTAGCTTTGAATGTCACCTATTAGCTTTTACTGACTTGAGTCAAGTACTCAAGTATCAGTACAATCCTAAAGTAGGGATTTTCCTAACGACTAATTCCCTAACGTTTAAATAAAAGTTTAAATGTTAAAAGTAAGAAAAAAAAAACACTCAGACAAGTCAAAATTGATCACAAATTATTGTACAAGGTTAACAAACACTGTCCAAAAAATAATTATAAGAGACATCTGAAAACTTTAATCATATTTTTTCATTTTTAAAAGCAAACTCAAGACCTAGCGTTTTAGCCTGGCTTTTAATTGTCATTCATTTATTTATTATTTTTTTATTTTATTTTTTTATTTTGTATTTATGATTATTTTGTATTTATTTTTTTATTCTTATTAATCTGGTTTTTTTTAGCCGACATATTTTTCTATTTCGTTATTTATTTATTTATTTATTTTTTTATATGGATCTAAAATTGTTTCTTATTCTGAGTTTTTATCCTGCCTCCTTTTTGTTTTTATTGTGTAAAGCACTGTGTTGTATTCTAAATGTATAAAAAGTGTTATATAAATAAAGTCTGATTGATTGATTGATTGATTGATTGATTGATTGATTTTTCAATATCCAAATCGTATTTAAACAACACAACACCTCATTAATTACACGTAAATGGAAACTTCAATGTGTGTGTTCATGTGTGTGTGACAGAGAGAGACGGAGAAGGAAAGAACCCTTGACGATCAGAGACCCTGGTTAGTCTCACATGCTCCTCAAATCTTCCTCTGGGTACCTTCATAATAAGTTTAACCAACAAGTAATTGTGGTATCGACTTAGCGAGGGCGGCAGTTTAATCGACTGGTCAACTAATTGCACACATCCCCATCCTCGACCCAAGTGGGACAATGATGATGATAGTGGCTTTAAATGAGGATACAGTAGTATGTAATGGATGGGGTGGGAGGTGTGGTGTTCTTATAGTCTAAAACTGCATTTAAATACATTTTCAATTTGCAGCACTGTGTTGTGCTGCTCAGTAAAGGTCTGCTGTGTCATTGTTTTCCTTATTCCCTCTATTTTTCATCAAGATATGACAGGAAGGAAGAAAGAAAGGAAGAAAGAAAGAGATGGGCAAGCAAACCAAAATCCTACACTGAGAGCGAGTTTATCGAGTGGCTGATCAATGAGAGCAGCCTCAGCCGGGAGAAAGAAAAAAAAACGAGAACAGAAAAGAGAGCGGAGAGACACAAACACCTCTGACCCCTGATTACAGCCTTGGGAAGAGGCACGGAGCCAAACGAAGAAAATGTGACTTAGTGGCCGATGTGTGTGCAGCCTTGAACAAAAAAGACTGAATTACACGCGCAGTGAGCGGCTCAGCCTTGCAAAATAAGAGGGTGATAGATTGACAGGGAGAAAAAAAGATGATACTGCCTGCAGCCTTGGACAAAATGAAATGAACTCTGGTTGACAGCGGTGGGCAAATATGTTAACATTAAACTAAGAGTGGAAATGTGCATCCTTCAAGGAAAAGAAAGTAGGAAGAGGAGAGAGATACACACAATCTGATACAGAACATGAGCCATAGAGAGTGAGACAGACAGACATGTGCTGATCTGTGTGTGTGTGTGGGACTTGACAGACAGACAGACAGACATGTGCTGATCTGTGTGTAAGGGACTTGACAGACACACAGACATGGACTGACCTGTGAGCACGGCCTTGGCGGAGGGTTCAGCCAGGTCCAGGGCGGACTTGCCGTCGGTGTTGCGGATGTTGGGGTCGGCTCCATGCTGCAGTAACACTGTACAACAACAGGGCAGACACAGACAGTAGCTGAGCTCCTGGACTGACATGCAAACTCCCCGACACACACCTCCCCCTAGTCCTCCTCCTCCTCCTCCTCCTCCTCCTCCTCCTCCTCCTCCTACTGCTGCTCCTCCTCCTCCTCCTCCTGCTGCTGCCGAACCACATCCCGCTCCATACACTGCTCTCTCTGGACCTCCTCCTTTTTCTCCCACTTGCTCCTCTGCTATCCCTCCTGCTCCTCCACCTCTGGCTGAGTCTCCCGCCGCACGTCCCGCTTCTCATCTCTCCCGTCCTCCTCCTCCTCCTCCTTCCCCGGCTGCTCCACCTCTGTTGCTGGCACTGCTCTCCCGGCTGCCCCTGGCTGCCCCTGCCCTGCGAGCCATGCTGCTGATGTAAACAGACATGCCACAACAAGAGCAGCGAAGGCTACGCTACACCACACCGCCGGATAAACAGCGGACCTTACAAAGCAGCGATGTGACCAGCTACGAAACACATCGCAGCTCCACGGAGTAGCAAGGGGGGGAGGCTGTAGTTAAGCTGAGAAAATACATAAAAAGGAGTGAGGAGGGGAAGAGACGAGCGGCCACAGCTAATCGAGGCAGCAGCAGCAGCGACGAGGCGGGCAGGCTGTGCGAGTGGAGAGACTCTCGCCTCTCCAACTGACTGAGCGATGCAGCGGAGAGCAAGATGAGAGAGGGGAGGAGAGGAGGAGGGGGAGGATGGGGTGGGAGGGGAGGGGGAAATGAGAGTCAGAAAGGATGGGAGAGGTAGAGGACGAAAAGAGGGGAGGGAGAGCAAAACAAAACAAGAGTGTTTGTTTGTGTGATAGAGAGGCAGAGAGAGCAGGGAGTAGTAAAGAGGAGAGGAGAGGAGAGAAATAGGGAGAGGATGACAGGAGAGGAAAATGAAAAAAAGAGGAGAAGAAAGGAAAAGAGAGAACACAGGGGGGATAAATGAGGTGAGGAGAGGACAGAAGAGAAGAAAGAGGAGGAGAGGAGAGGAGAAATAAGAGGAGATGAAAGGGGAAGAGTGAAGGAAGAAAAAAGCAAAGGAAAAGGACAGAAAAGAGGAGATATGAGAAGAGAGGAAAGAAGAGAAGAGATGAGAATGAATGCGAGGAGAGGAAAGGGACAGAAAAGAGAGAAAGGAGAAGAGGAGAAATGAGAGGAGAAATGAGGGAAAAAGGAGACGAAATGAGATGAGATGAGATGAGAGGAGAGGCAAGGAGAGAGGAGGAAAAGGGGGAAGAGGAGATATGAGGAGAGGAAAGGTGAGGAGAGATGAGAAGGAATGAGAGAAGAGGAAAGGAACAGAAAAGTGAGAAAGGAGAGGAGAAATTAGGAGAGGAAAGAGGAGAGGAGATGTGAGGAGAGGAAAAGAAGAGATAAGAGGAGATAAGGGAAGAGGGGAGAGTAAAGGAAAGGACAAGGACAAAGAGAGGAGAAATAAGGAGAGGAAAGAGGAGAGGAAAATGGAAAAGAGAGAAGATAAAGGAGGGATGAAAGTAAAATAAAAGAGAGATGAAAAAGGAGGAAAGTAACAGAAAAGGGAGAAGGGAGAGGACAAGATATGAGAGGAGAGGAGAGGAAAAGGGGGAGGAGAGATGCGATGAGAACGAATGAGAGGAGAAGAAAGGAATAGAAAAGGGAGAAAGGAGAAGAGGATAAATGAGAGGGGGAATTCGGGGAGGAAGAAAGAGAAGAAATGAGGAGAGGAGATGAGAAAGGTGGGAGAGAAGAGGAAAAGAAAAGGGAGAACAGAGAAGAGGAGATATGAGGAGAGGAAAATGGAAGAGATACGGAGAGATAAGGGGAGAGGACACAGAAGAAGAGAGGGGAGGAGAAGAAATGAGAGGAGAGGAGAAACAAGGCGGGAAAAGGAAAAAAGGAGAAGAAATAAAAGGAAAGTGGAAAAGAAAGGAGGAGGAGAAGAAGAGAAAAGATGAGGAGATAAAAAAGGGAGAGCAGAGATAAGAAGAAACAAGAGGAGGGGAGAGGGAGAGGGAGAAGACAAGACGAGAGGAGAGAAAAGGAAAGGAAAAGAAGAGAAGAAATGAGAGAAGAAGAAGAGAAGAGACGAGAAGAGAAGAGGACAGAGCCATGCGACTACAGAACAGGTATGAGCTGAATAACAAACTGTGCCAGCGCTCAGTTTTTTGTAAATGAGCTCTTTTGAGGGCTCTAATGTCAACACTCTCACTGCTTCCTCTCTATCTCACTGCCCAGGATTGTGATTGCTGAGCGCTCCTCGGTGCACATGCCCTTTGACTTGTGTACACCTCAAACTACTCTGCTCAAAGCCGGCAGAGAGGAGAGGAGAAGAGGAAGATAAGCGGGCTCGCCTGTGATGCTGTGTGTATGTGCGTGCATGTGTTTGCAGCCCTGACGCAGACCTTAGTCACCCACTCACCCCTCAACAAAAAATATGATTTAGCTCTGCACCAATCCTATATACACACATGAGCGAGCACACACACACACACACACAGATACTGACACCAACAGTGAGAGAATGTGAGGCACACAGCCACACTAACAGGTTAGATTGGTTCACAAATACAGACTGATTCATCTGCTAGTGTCAACTTCTAATTCTGTGATTTCATTTTTGTCTCTAATGGGCACGACTTCTCAGTAATACCAGCAAAAGCCTTCTCTGAACAACCCAAATCCCCATTTTGGACAGGATTACTTTTCAGGACAACGTCAAATTTGTCTTGTGACTAGCTGCAACACTACGTCCAATCAGTAAGTAATACCTTTCATACACTACAACACTTTGTAAAGACATTAAGAAATACTTTTAAAAGACTTAAGTCCAACACCCTCAAAAGAAAATGTGAGTGTAAAGTCACTATTTGCAAGACTACAACTAGATCCCTTTTGAGCTTACTTCCCATCCTGCTCCTGCTGGAAAACAATACACCAAACTCCATTTAAGAAATATGACATTGTAACAATTCCTTACATGTCTGCAAAAACACTTAAAGCTACTCTCACCTTTCTTGCATTTCACACAGCACTTAGAAAAAATTAGAACATCCACAACTCCCGCCTCCCTTCAAAGTCCCATCCCCCTCCTCCTGCAACTCCACCTACTTCCCAAGGCCTACTCCCCCCTCCTCCATTACGTCCTCATTACATCTATGATAGACGTAGGCGTTGGCAAGTTAACGTTAGATACACGGAAGAGGAGAGCGAATGTAACACGCCAAGAGAACAGTAGAAGAGAAGAGGTGTAAACTACTACTAGCAAACTAAACAAAACGCTACCTGTCCTGCACAGTCAAACGCAACCCCAGAGTTTTTAACTTATCCAGGGTCAGTGATGACTGATGAGTTTTATAATATAATGTAAACGCTAACGTTAGATAGTACTGGTGACTGGCAACAAACAAGACAGTAGGCTAACTGTTAGCAACTGGTTGCTGTATTGTCATATATAACGTTATAGCCTGATGTTACTCGAGCGGTTATGTTAGTCGGAGGCCTCCACGAGGGGAAGACAGACAGGACAGGAGAAAACTCCGTCCATTTCTAGTGGAATTCACTTACATTTTAGTGTGCCATCAGCTTATCAATAGCATTTAACCTAAACAAAGAAATTTGTAAAATTTCCAGAAAGGTAATTGTCATTTTAACTGAAGAGACACAAGATTAAAGGCGTCATATGTCGACAGTATTCTCGTCAGTTCGGCATCAATATAATCTCTGGAGATAAACTAGGTGGAGACAAACTTTACTTTCTGGATTTTGCCTCCTCAATCAGTCTCCATTGGTTAGCTGGAATATTTTGGGATGAGACCGTGGAAACGAGGGGCAAACTGTTTCAAAAATTAAAAACTCTTTCTAAGGACACACAAATATTTAAACAAGGACTCTTGTTCACTCCACAACTTCACCAGTTTCTCTTCCTTTCCCACAGATCAAGAGGACCGAGATTTGTTCATGTTCTTGCACCTACCCAGGCTCCCCTACCTGTTTACTGTCCATCCAGTTTACCACTTCCTGTTTGGAGTTAGAGGGAGCACAGCTTTTGGTTGTTGACACTCTTCAGGTCATTTAACTTCAGTGTTTGCACAAGCAAAGACTAAGAACTTAAGATAGCATTCAACTTCTTTGATTTTGCTGGAATGTCAAGACAAGTAAAAGACAGACGTAAGACAGGTTGGACCGGTATTATGACCACCTTACTAGTGATGAAGAGCACAAGAGCACGCATCAACTGAAGTAAAACTCTGATTAATGGCATTATTACGACACTGGAAACTTGTCAGCAATGGTGACATTGCATGTAGTCATTTGGTGTAAGGTTTACTGTGAGGAAAATTTTGAGAAAAAGTACTGCTGAAGAATTCAAGCCACAGACACCAACGCCGAAACAGCAGGCAGGTGCAAGATTATTCCTGCAGCTGCCTCACTGTAAGCCTTTCAGAGAACACGGCTTTTAGTTGGCCTAAATTTACATTTAGACATTTGTAGTGGCTTTGTGCCAAATTTGCACAAGCAAACAGGCTCTTATTTAGGCAAAAGTCAAACCTCCACCCTTTATAAGAAAGATAAGAAACTCCTTTTCCTGTGCTGTCACCATTTGTAAGAACTGAACAGTAAAATCTGCAGAGCATTAGCCTACAAATAAATGCAGGAAACATGTGAGACAGACAGGGTGTAGCACTGAGACTATAAAGTGAACAATGGAAATATTATCAACAACTTAAAATATGAGTTAATCAACCAGCCGAACTGGACTCTACCCGCAAGCTGCCAACTTTATGCATTGCAGTAGATCAACTGTCAGGACTGAGGACTGAGACAAGGACAGAGACAATTAGGAGTGAGCGCTGTGGTGCTCTCCAAGGTGTGTGTGTGTGTATGTGTTTGAGAGACAGAGACAGAGACAGAGACAGAGAGAGGGGGAAAGAGGACATAAGGTGGACTATTGCATCTATGTTTCTGTAGGCCGAGGTATAAATAACTTACTTGGTGCTTTGTC